TGTGAGACCCCAACTTCGAGAGTTTAATCATTCATCTACAATTTGGTTGCGTTCTTTCTTGTTCTTGCTTGTGTTCTTCGTTGCGCAGGTAGGGATTAGCCTTCTTGGCGAGGTCAACCTGGTCCGTGACTTGGTTGATAACCAGAGGAGTTGTGGTGCTAAGATTGCAGGGTTCGATCGTTGGATCTGAAGCCGGATCGGTGTGTCATTCTCCGTCACAACGATAGTTACCTCTACCTGATGGAAGATCGGGATCCCCGTCCCCATTACTTTGTTCTTCGGCTTTGCTTGCTTTTGAAGAACTTGGGTCTTGGGGTGCATCTTTTTTGAGACTTTGGTCTTCGACTGTTGGTGGGTCATCTTCGATTTACCCTAGTGGTAACTTTCTTCTTAGCTCTGCCCATTAGCTTCACGTGGTCGTGGGAGTTTTCGAGAACACACAAACGGTGGGCGCCAGATGTTAGGTAAGAAATTACTCAAGCATCAAAGTTTAAACACAAGGCAAAGTTGTATTTATTTTATGATCGTACTGTACATGTCAGAAGAGGTATTTATAGGGCCCCAGTCTTCGTATCTTACATAAAATGACTATTTTACCTCTAACTCAAATATTTACAACCCTTTTCAACTATAAGGACGAAGTGGTTATTTTACACTACTTCAGTCTTCATCCCTCTATTTGGCCATCATTCTTCCTCGGAAATTATATTTCGCCTTTTGTCTTAGTCATCAAAAGATTTTTTCCCTCGTGGTTGCAGGACGCTCCATTCAAGGTTCTTGATAGAATCAAAGGCCTTTCCCTAGTCTTTGTCTTGGACCTGCATGGAATCAGCTGATTGAAACAAAAGCATCTTTACCCACATGATCCCATAGTTAAACTTCTGTCTTTGCTTTGGTCTTGACTTCTTTATCTTGATTTCTCCTTCTTTTTGGCGAAGTCAAATCTTTTCATACGAAGTCGGAATGTTGTCTTCGCTTTCATTTTTCCTGTAAACAGATTTCGTTATGGAATCTTAAGAATTTAGCTCCAAAGTTTGGGGCTATGTTTTGTGACGAAGTTAAATTCCCAATAGTGCTAACTCTACGATAAAAACAAAAGGATAATATATTTCTTGAAAATGAATTAAATAGTGAGATCTATAGATTGAGATTTCAGTCTAATGTTTTTTGAACCCATGTTGGCAATTACCAGTCTAATGTTTTTGAAATTCATGTAGGTTCAGGCCTCAGGTCCATTATATATATATTTCTAGCCTTACTCAAGGTTTAAGCATCGAAGCACTTCGAGTCATCAAGATTTTTTTTCCCCTCGTGGTTGCAGGAAGCTCCAATTCAAGGTTCTTGACAGAATCAAACGCCTAACTAAACACATCCCTAGTCAGTCATGGATTGCGCAATATTGAGGAAAGCACAAATGTTCGCGCCATGGACCAAAGACTTGCATGGAGAGACAGAGGGATCAGCTTCTCGATTGAAACCAAGTGAAAGCATCTTCTGTTTTTTCAAAGCACAAAAAAAACAAACTCGAGCTCTCTTTCATGATCCCATAATCTTGAGCAGCTTTGACCGACCTTCCATATGTTTGCTTTATTGCATTCCGTCTTAAATCCAATAGAAAGAAAGAGAGAACTCAGAAGGCATCACAATTGGGAAGCAGAAAGGGGAAAATGCCAATGGTAGCAGTCATGAGCAATAGAGTTTACTTCAATTTTATTCTTAAAATCCTCCACCAACAACTGTATCAAATTAAAACTCTGGATTCAATTCAAGCTCTCCAAGTCTTAAGCTCTATAGATAGTATATACAGATATATAATGACTTCAGCCTACAAATACTTATCATCGAAGTCGTGCTAAGTCTAGGTGCTCGGTTGAAAAGTGCAGTGATGATACACATGAAAAATGGTGCTCTTAAAATTTTTTTACGCTAAAAGAAGCTACAAAATTGTTCTACTATACATGTGATGATATCTGCAAGAGCAGTCAGGCAGTGCATTAATGGATTTGTAAGAGCAGTCAAGCAGTGCATTGCCCTACGCTAGAGCAATAACTTTTTGCCTTTATTAGGATATCAACGGCTTGAACAGTGCACGTCAGATCTGAATCTGCAGTTGGCAGCATATTTTAATCAGCATATGATATAAATATAAAAATTTAAAACAGAAACAGAGGAGACTCAGCGCAAATGCCAAATGAACTCAGCGGCTCAGCGCAAATGCCAAATGAAGAACTGCAAGTCTGCAACAAAGACCAATTGTCACATAACTTGCACAACTTTGAGGTAAAGTAAAAGATGGAGTTGTTACATAAAAAACAAAAGATTCACCTATAAAAAAAACAAAAGATTCATTTTTCAGTATCTTGTGATTTTGTTTCCCGATGTAGCACAAAGGCAACATAAAATACGTTTTCCATAATGCACGCGACCTTTCGTCTCCCCGAGATTGATAAACTCTGCACCCGCTACGGCGCTAGCGGCCGCCTAGCGCTACCCAGGCATCACAAAAACCTGCTTGGTGCCTTGGTCTCCTCTCCTGGCCGCGCCGCCCAGTTCCCACCCCAACAAAACGCGAGGCCTCTCGTCCCGCAGGATCATGTCGACTCGAATTCACCTCGCGTAGCACTCGCGCTCCTCCTCCATCTACCCTTGACGCCATCCGGATTGGACTGGTTTCATCTTCCTTTGGTAAGTGATCCCTACCTTAGTTATGGATCCTTGTTTATTGCCAGCAATCCGTCGAAAATTTTCGTTCTTGCATGGATCCAGATACTGTCCTCGCAGTCCTTCTGTTGCGATTGGATGGGTTCAATCAATCCCATGTTTATCTTGTTTGTTCTTTATACCTAATGCCTGAATATGGTTAGCCAGATTGTTCGGTGGCAGAATTTAGATGGGTAACTGACGCTTAGCATTGCTATATTCTGCTTTTTAATTTGCGCATGAAGATGATTTCTTTTTTAAAACGAATCAGTCAGAGCTGCGGAATGCCTATTATTTTATACTAAAAGAGGATGTACAACGGGACAGCTGCCTGGGGCGAGCAACAAAAACAATAAAACAAAAAGCAACTCAAAGTTACCGATGAGGGTTGGTGGGAATGAGATCTCAACAAGCACGTCACTCCTTCCACACTCGTTGCTGTTGTACACAATTAATCTGCAACCTCACTACCTCCGCACCACTGCTAGCCAATTGCAATATTGCACCACCACCACCTGACTACGGGTCTATTTGGATACTAGAGCTAATTGCTAGCTAAGTAAAAATTAACCCTATTACATCGAAATAGGAGGGCTGTAGATGGGCTAATTTTTTAGCCAAGCCCTCAACTATTGTTAGCCAACTACTTAGCCAACCTCAACTAATAATTAGAGCTTATGTTAGATCACTTGCTCCGTCAGTCGAAATGACTATCACCACTTGCGCTGTTGTCACTGACGATGTCCTGCACAAAGGCAGCCGTCATACCCACTGTGCACAACTCCTAAGTTGTGGTCGCGTCTCATGACGCTTGTAGCCATCACCCACCTCAGCCACCACGACCACCATGGGTGCCCAAGTTGCGCTCGCAGCCTATCCTCACCGCGCCACTGTAGCCTCCAGCCCTCATCACCAGATGTTGATGACTTAGGGCGTCCCCAATGGCTGTCCAAGTTGCTAGCTTGGAGCACCCTTAATCAGAAGGAGAGATCAGAAAAATCACAACTCTAGTGACCCTGCAAGAGTCTAGTTCGCACATCTTCCCAGATCTTCTAAGTCTCTGACATGCATTGTGCTATCTAGTTTTTTTTTTTCTTTTTAACGTTTCTAGCTTTGACATCAGCCAGCGATTCACACACGCTGTTACGGACGCCCTTACCGGCTTACCGGCTTACCGAGCATCCCATTGTTGCCAGTGGTCATCCACGCGTCACAGGCATTCCCACCAAGTGCGCCTCAAGCCAGCAAGCTGCAACTACCTTTCCTGTGAATCGAACGAAGGCGGATCAATAACCGGCTTGATGCCCCCACGCCATGGGCAGCACCAGTGACACTGCCCCCACTGGGAAGTCCGGATCCGGCTAGGAAGCGCGGATCTGTCCACCGCAAAGCGGATTAGAGTGCTCTGACCACTGCGCTGAGTGATCCGTCGTGAGCAGCTGCATCACCTAGTTCTGCTAGAAGACTAGAACAAGAAATAGAAGGGGAAAACAGAGAGAGGGTGGAGGAAAAAAGGAGAGAAGGTAAGTGGAGGGAGGGGCTGCCGCCGCTGGCCTGTGACGATGCTGGTGGCTGGCTGGAAATACTGGCGGGGCGCTGGTTTTGTGGCAGGTTTCAGTTTCTGCTGTGCCGCCCATGGAGGACAACGCATAGAGCCTGGGGTGCGGTGAATTTCAAGGGTGAGTTCTGAGGCTTTGTCAAAGATTTAAATAAACAGGGCATGAAAAATAAAGAGAACTAAAAAATAGTTTATTGTGAGAGAAAAGGCGGTAATCTATCAGAGTGAGAAAAGAACTATATGCATTGAGACTTAGACATGAGAGGAAAAGAAAGATGAAGTGGAGTGACCATTACTGGTTTGAGACAGAAGCTGAAGCAAAAAAGATTGTTAAAATCTAAGAATTACCAACTCAAATTGGCTGGAGAAAATGTCAGTGGAAGTTCAGGATAGATACTAAGGTATGATAAGAGAAGTTTAATACATAATAAGGGTGTTCAAAACAATGGTGGATAGACGAACAAGCAAAATTAACTGATTGTGCATGTTTTTTTTTTCTAATAATATGCTTTTCACGTGAAGAACTAGTGTTGATGTTTGGGATGCATCTAGTCGATGTAAACATGTATGATCAACCAAATATAGTTTTGGCTGAGTGTCACATATCAAATTCACCTAGTAGTTTCCCTTAGAATTAATGTTTCTCAAACCGAAACCAAAACTGTGACATAGACAAATTTTTTACTATGCCCACACAGTTTAAATATACTCAGTAACATGATTCTTTCATGTGTACTCAGCAATGAATTCAGGCAATCATGGTTGTATGAGGCAACAATCTTATGGAAGGCGAACTGCACAACAAAAAGGAGATACTAAGAGTTTTTATCAACCTAGATATGCTGAGTCATTGTGTCCTCTGCCCGAACATGGAGAAAATGATGACTACTTGAAATATGAGGTCAGTTACGTGGGGTATGAGGATTATGAACATGGAGAAAATGATGATTACTTGAAATATGAGGAGAGGTACATGGGGTATGAGGATTATGAAGAGTATGATGATATAGGTGGTTGTCATGGTGGGAGAGCAAGAGATGATTGTTTTGGACCCCATTAGCAGAGGATATGGCGGTGTAGATGGCATTGGACAAGGAAGCTCACATCTTGTGGATGATAGAAAATGACCAGGACATTCTTTTAGACCCATTAGCAGATATGGCGGTGTAGATGGCATTGGACAAGGAAGCTCACATCTTGTGGATGATAGAAAATGGCAAGGACATACATATTATGGCCCATTACATCGTGGCAGCACAAGCTATGACATGCAGCATAAAGAACAAAATATTCTGTACTGCAAGTACATCAAAGAGAGGGAAGATGCCAAGGCGATGCTCCATGGCCAGTCTACAAACAATGGAAAAATGGTCCTGCTGTGAGGTCAAAAATGATGGGTAGAAAGGTGGGAATTCAACAAAAAAGGAGACAAAACATTCTCGCACTTGGAAGAACTTCAATAGACATTCTTGTAGAAGACAACAAGGTCTGTTTGTCTGTCTTGGGTAAAGCTTTTATATCATCATGTCTAGAGTTGACAAATGGATATCATTTCAGTACCAGCACCAAATCAACATAAAATGTTTTCTAAAAAAATGCAATTGCTGTTTCAGTGTTTTAGCACCTTGTAAACTCAAATAATGATCACAGAAAAAAGAAAACAGATAATTTTGCTTTAGATACTAAGTTTGTCTTTTCCTTTTTTTCTTGGTTTATAACTTAATATTTTTATCAATCAACCACTCTAAATATAGATTAAATTTTAACTTGAATACATCACTGATATGCATAGTAAATGTACAACTGCATGTGCAATGTTTTCCAAAAAAAGAACAAATTATTGCAATTTGGTGTAGTTTTTATTTGATATGTAGCTTTTCTATAAAATTATTTATGGTAAAGCTTGTTTATTTATGTAAAGTTGTAAACTTTGGGAAAGATATAGTTAAGCAAACAAGGTCCTTGGAAGTTAACTGAATGCAAACCGCAGAGCAAAAAGCTAGATGTGTCAACTATGACTCTCGAGTCAGAACATCAGTTAAATGATTTGCAAAACTCGAAATGGAGATAAAAGAAATGAAGGCCAAATTGGAAGCAATGAGCTGTAACTCAGACAGTAAAGATTCAGCATCAGAGAAGAAAATCGTTGAATTGAACAGTCAGTTACAAGAAAAAATGGATGAAATGGATTTTATGGAGTCGTCCAATCAAATTCTAGTTATCAAGGAACGTAAAAGCAATGATCAGCTGCAGGAGATACGGAAGGAGCTAATAAATGTAAGCTAATCCTTATGTTGTTAAATTGTTCACAATTTATCCATAGAAGTATTCAGTATACGTTGTTATGCGTTCCAAAGATTTCATTATTATTTCTTGTTTGTGTGATGTTTGGCTCGATGGATATGGGCTCAACAGGGTTTGCTTGAGCACGGTGGTCCCCGAGCACATATAGGCATCAAGAGGATGGGTGAGCTTGATCCAAAAGCATTTTCAAATGCTTGCAAGCAAATATTTCCTGGGGACAATGCCAAAGTAAATGCTGCTCTACTCTGTTCAAAGTGGGAAGCTGAAATAAAAAAACCAGAATGGCACCCTTTGGATGTTGTCAGAATTGGAGGAAAAGAGATGGTACAAAAATCTGTATCTATGACTAATCGTTTCTTCATACAGTACTAGCTCAGGCAGCACAAGTTACTAGTGGACAAACATATCTAGTGATATAACCTTTTGCTATGTCCTCTTCTGAGAAATTTTAACTGGATACATGTTTCTTGTTTCCTTTGTGTATTCTTAATTCAATCAAAATAACATAGTCCTAGATAGCTTGTGTGCAAACTAATTCTCTTGCAATTTCTCTAAATTTATGTAATTAGATCTGTCATATGAAAATAATATACTAATAGATTTATGATTTGACATTATACATCTAGAAAGAGTGATGCCAACATCCTAAAAGACAAGTAAATCAAACCGGAGGTAGGCTATCTGAATTTTAAAAGTTCGCAAATTGTTTATTTTTTATGATAATAACTACAACCTACAGGCAGTCTTAAAACCAGTTGATAAAAATCAAACGCACGTGCACCTGAAAGTTCGGCCTTGTCAAGAAATATAAGGCGTGCACGTATGCCAAAATTCAAACTTTTTTATTTTTTTACTAACAGTTAGTCTGATCATATGAAAAGTGTATACTACAAACATTATTATATTACATTTGTATTTAGAAATATACTTTCTGCTCATCAAACTTTTGTTGCCATAATTATATATTATAAGAGAAATTAGTGGTCAGTGTGCTCTTGATGACTGCACCGATTCAAATCACGCCTTATATTTTGATATGGAGAGAGTAACAACAGCATCCTGTCAAATCATGCTCTATATATGCAGATATGTCCAGTGCAATTTCTTTATTCTTATTTACTGCAAAATGCTTGCCCGTGCTAGTTTTCTTTTCTGTGTATACACTGTTTGGCCTATAAGGATTGTTGTGGAAATTTCCTTTATTCCCCAAGTTATTGAGGATACCCAACTTTGGAAACATTTTAGTGTTATCTTATTTGCTGTCTAATGGCACTTACTCTGATGTAGGAGATAATCAATGAGGACGATCCTAAACTTAAAGAATTAAAATAAGAGCTCGGTGGAGAAATCTATACCCAGGTGACAACGGCTCTGCTTGAAATCAATGAGGATAACCCTAGCGGCCGATATCCTGTAGCTGAGATGTGGAATTTCAAGGAAGGGCAGAAAGCAGCACTGAAGGAGGTTGTCCAATTTGTCCTGAAACAGTGGAAGACCCACAAGAGGAAACATTAAGGTCGGTTGCTGCAATAATTAACTGTGGGATTGCTCATCATGGTAGCTTGGGTGTATTTTGGTGTATGCATGAGTGAATGATGCTAATTCCAGGAAGCATGTCGATGCATCTCTTGTGCAAATATGGTTGTCCCATTAACTGTTGTTTTCCTATAGTGCACTATATGTTTCTGAATAGGTTAGTAGTAGCCACCAGAAGTAGACTGCAATAGCTTGTAGTTCAAACTATAAGGGCCTCAACAAGTGAAAATGCATTCCAGTTTGGGATTTGTCCTCCAACATTCTCCTTTTTAAGTAAGTCCATTTGTGAATGTCCTCAACCTTAACTTTTTTAACTTTTAGCATTAACATGAAAATCATATAGACTGATACTTTGTTAGGGCCCGGTTTGGGCGGCTAGGGCGTGGACGGCGGTTGCTGCTGGTGCTGCGGCAGGGAAGGCGTGGCTAGGGCAGGCGCTGGGAGGGAGGGAGGGAGCAATAACTCAGTCTCTAGAGGACTTGCACTCCAAGAAAGAGTCCTTATAGATTTGGACTATTTCTTTGTAAGGAAAATCATCATATTTCCCAAATCATCTCAATCTGATTTCCTAAATAATTCTCTATTTATTTTTCCTATTTTTATTTTAAAATTCCCTTTTCCTCTGGATCCTCCTGGATATCGGGAGATTGAGGGGCGGTGGTGGTCCACCCCCCCCATCGCCCCAGTGTCGCACGTAGGGTGGCCCTTGCGCCGGCTAGGGGTAGGTCCCAGGCCTTTGCTGGCCCGACGTGGGGGGTCTAGATCGGACATGTGACACGCTTGATGTTATTACACTGATCATGAAAAAGACTTTCACAATATATTCTCATTTTATGGTGATATATGTATCTAGATGTTGCTAGTCCAAAATGTGTTATAAATCCTTGTTTACAATTCCAAACTTGCTATCAAGGCTAGTCAAAAGTAAACATATTAAACAGTGCCGAACAAAATAGTAAAACACGGGCCGCTGAGTAAGCATTCCAAAACATGTGCTAGAATATACCTGGAGCCTTAAGGAAAAAGACAGTGCTGGAACTGGTGTATAGAAAAGAAATAAAGTCAAGAGAGGGAGAAAACACGAACCTAGCAAGATAGCGCATTTTCTGGGTGTACTGCAAATATAGATTCTACGGTGGTTAAGTGACAAGCTTTAGGGATGCTTAAACTGTAGCAAACATGATGCACACTAGTACGTTGCGCGCGCCATTGCGCATGTCGGTTATCCAACCAAAGATGCAGCGCATGACTGAACAATCATCTAATCTTTAGTAACTGACATGACAAATACTCAGGGTCGTAGCATGAGGATGGTATGTACATATGTGTTTACATAGATGTGATAAGCGCTGTAATGGTCCTTATTATCAGATTTGTATTTCTCGGTAGCTGGCTGATTGCCCCTCCCACCGGAAAGAGTTTTAACAGTTCCTTCTTCTTGCAATTCCTCTCAAAGTAGAAATCATCCCAAAGCACTCTGAGCCTTGTTTGGAACTTTGGACACATCCCTACATGCAATTTTCATTGTCACATAGTCTAGCCTGAACCTAGTCTTCTCATCGATTTCAATCACTTTTCCAACCAAGTCTTCCAACTTTGCCACTGTCTTAACAGACCTCTGATCAACAAGGATACTCCTCATCCTAAATCATGCTTTCTGTAACATACCATTAGCACCGACATTTGGAGTCCAAGGTTCAACTTTCATTTGTGCATCCACATTCCTCATAGCCAGAAACTTAAAGTAGCTCCATTCTTTCACCATCTTAGCATTGGGAAACCTCATAACAAATTTATTTTCCCCAATAGGCCTAGCATTCCATCCTTTTCCCTAGCAACTCTACGATCAATTGACCCATCAGTATAAAAGAAACTTTTGGTCTTCTACCTCAGCTCAGGACCCATATGCCAAGGCAAACATTTCTTACACTAATAAGCTAAATGACAATGACAATTCAGACCACAAATCCGCAGAGCAACCTTCTACACTCTCTAGTCACATGATTTGTCAGACCACAGATTTCACAAGCAAATCTATTCTGAACAGGATAAGATACAGTTTGAGATTCTAGAACCAGATTACCCTCCAGCTACAAATATGCCTGCACCAATCCAATCATGATTTTAGCTGTTGATGATCGGACACTCCATGAGCATTATATGAGGTTCAGAACGTCTAGGAAAATCCATACTGCCATCACGGCTGTTGCTCCGGCCCAACCCAACACACCACGCGCTGCACCCCCGTCGCACTGGCCGCACGCACGGGGCACGACAGCAGCCAACACACCACACCCCCGTCCTGTTCCTCGGGCCGCAGCCCCCTGCCTGCACCTTCCCTCCTATTTTATAGAAGACGGAGCGCGCAATGGGGGGCCGTGCCGCCCGTGCCGTCCCGGAAAGCTTCCGGTCTGAACGGGAGGACCCAAGCCGTCCGCCGAACGGCGCGCGCCCGCGCGGGAAGCCACGGCGACGGAAGCAGGTACGTTTCTCGGGTTTTTTCTTTTTTTCTTATTCTTCTCATTTATTTTCTTTTTTTTCCTTTTCTTTTCTCATTTTCTTTTTTCTGTTTCGTGCTTCATTTTATATTTATAGTTCTTTTTTGTTTTATGTGATTTTTTTTATTTTTTATTTTTAATTTTTTGTTTCTTTTATTTCTTTTTTGTTTTCTTTTATTTTATTTCCTTTTCTCATTATTTTTTATTTCCTTTCTTCATTTTTATTTTTCGCTTCATGTGATTTTTCATTATTCTTTTCATTTTTTATATTTTTATTTATTGTATTTCTTTTTTTACTATAATTAATTATTATGTTTGTTATATTTTATTTTATTTTTATATTTTATTCTTTTTGTATTTCTTTCTTTTTTCTTTCCTCTTTTGTCTTTATGTTTTCTATAGATTTTTTTATTTTTGATTTTTCTATTTTACCTTATTTAATTAATTTTCCATGTTTAATTTTTTATTTTCTATGAGATGATATGTGTATGTAGTATAGATTGATGTTCTATGATTTATTTTACGATGTTCATGTGGTATATATTGTTATGTTTTATGATATTTTTTGTGATGTTCATGTAGTATACATGTTATGTTTTATGTTTTTTTGTGATGTTCACGTGTTATACCTGTGATGTTCTGTGATGTGTTTTTGTGATGTTCTTATGGTATACATGTGATGTTCTAGATGTATTTTATAGTGTTCGTATAGTATACATGTGTTATTCACAAAGTATACATGTGATATTCTATGATGGTTTTTGTGATGTTCACTTAGTACACATGTGATTTCTACGATGAATTTAGTGTTGTTTACGAAATATGTGTGCGATGTTCTATGATGCATTTAGTGATGTTCTACGATATATTTAGTGTTGTTTATGTAATATATATAATGTTCTCTGATGTATTTTGTATAATGTTTTACGATGTATTTAGTGATGTTCACTTATTATACCTGTGATGTTCTATATTATATTTTAGAATGTTTGAAAAGTCTCATGTGATGTTTTTTTAAATTTTTCTCTATTGCTTGTTTTTTCCTTATGCTTTGCTCTAGATTTTATTATTTTTATTTATGTTATGTATTTATTTATTTACTATTTATATATTTCATCATTTTTGTTATCATTATTTTTATTTTTATGTATATTATAATACCCATTACATGAACCTAAAACTAGAATATTGTTCTTCTCAATTGAAAATATTTTTTTACAAAGACGGAACATTGTTATCTGAACCTGGAACATTATCTATGCTCAATAAAAAATATTCTATATTCATAAGATAAATGTTTATTAATAAAATTTTATCTAAATACATTTATGTGGGATCTTGTTTCGAAGGATTTATTAAAAAAAATTGATGGTATAATCAGAATTTAATTTGAATGTTTGATCAGTAGTTAAGATTTTTTTTATAAACACGTATGACGTCACACGCAAATCAAGCGGATAAAAAATCACGCATGCATGCTGGTGGGCTCCGTCCCGCGCGCGTCGCTGGTTGGACGGGAATAATTGAGCGGGAAAGGTGCCGTCCTGCCTGCGTTGCGCTGCCCCGCCCGCTCCGTCCCTCCCCACCCAACACCGCACAGCTATATACCGTCCAAACCGCCATGGAGACTTTCCTCTTCCCCTCCCCCTCCCCCTCCTCGCCAGCCCCGCATCTTGCCCGGATTAGCCGACTCCGGCTCCCCTCCACGGATCTCCCCACGCACCGCCCCGCCAGGTATGTCTCTCGTGTTCCCTCGCCTTGACGCTTCTCCCTTCTCGGCCACCCGCTTCGTTGGTTGCCATCAATGGACGCCGCCGATTCGGCTCTCTTTGCTGTTCGGCTCCGCGTCTCGCGATAGACGATGCTACAATCTAGGAGTAGATGGATTAGATGGGGGTCGCGCAATGTTTGGTGGTTCCTGCGATCGTCCTCGCTGGGGAATGTTCCTTCGTTGCTAACGAATTCAGTAGGTGTGGCCGTACGGATAATGCCAATTCAGTAATCGTCTGCCATCTTTAATTGCCTGGTGAACTGGTCGAGACGCGGGTTTAGCGTTAGGAATTATTGGAATCTCACCGCACCTTCCATCCCCATCTCGGCCCTGGGGCGGGGCAAGAGGGGCAGGCGTCCCAGGCCCATGGAGCCGATGGGATCCTCCCCAGGTATGCCATATGCGTACAGGCATACAGCCCAATAACGCAGACGCAGCAGCGAGCGACTTCCCGTCTCCTCTCCGCCGAGCGTGACTCCTCGTCTTCGTCCTCTACTGTGACTCCTCTCCTCTGCGTCTCTGCGACTGCGAGCAGGCGAGTAGCCGGCGGGCGGCGAGCGGTCGGCCACATCGGGCTCGGGGCCTCTGCAAGTCGGCAGGCAGGCAGAAATCTCCTTCAACGTATCTAATTTGCTTTCCCTTCTTTTGCGTTGTTCTTTTGACACCATCATCGATGACTTTGCATCAGGGATGATAGAAGAAATTTTTGAGGTAATTTAATATCTATACAAATTATTTCATATGAATATTGCTTTTGCTTTCAATTAGCCGCTTATTACTAACGTCTCGTATATGTGTCTTTATATACTAGCAGTGAGTAGTATTATCATGTTTATATATAAAAAGGCCCCAAATTTTAGTTTCGTTCTAGGTCCGAAAAAACTCAGGACCGGCATTTTCTGAGAGATTCAGGTTTCATTTGGTCTCGCTGCATTTTGTTCTCTTCCTCCAATCCGAGGCGCAATAGATAAGTTCTCTTTTGCTTAATGCTAAAAGACTGGGGCCATCGGCCCTAAAACTCTAAAACAATAGTAATAATAAGTTCATGTCTGTAGTTGCTGCCATTGCTCTACTCTCTACGTAGGTATTTTGTTCGTGGGAATATTTGTTGAAAATTTGGTAGGGACGACCGAAAACAAAGGGAGAACCAGGGGTTGTTGGATTGGGTTAGAGCCTGCGCCATCATATTTTAACTTCCAAAATCCGTTGGGATATGCTTCTTTTTTGGGTCTCTTTGTTTCCTTCTTTTCTTTTTTTTTTTTTGCTGGAGCCACCGACTTTGATGTCTCACCAAGAGCACAATGTCTTCATTGCATCCCCTTTTCTCTCAACTAGGGGCATCCTTGTGTACTGCCTATGTGTTTCAGGTTCTTGATTGTGTTTATGTAATCCGAAGCTTTAGGCCGAGCTGATTAGTGTTGTGTTGTTTCTCATACAGCTGATCTAAGCCAGGCGCAACTGTGAAACAATGGCGGCATCCAAGAAGGATCCCCCAATTCCCAGCAGAGGCAGGATGTCACCCAACCTCAGGCCATCCAGCAGTGAGTCCTCTGGGTACGGATATGGTGCTAGGCGGACGCGGTCTGTCCCGAGCTCCCCGGACCGCAAATTCGGCTCATCATCGCCGTCTGTGGCTGCCTCTGCCTCCACAGATGTGCAGCGTCCATCATTGTCCAGCGCTGGTCGGTCCATCTCATCGCGGACCATGGGCTCATCCATCCATGGCACCAAGGCCCAGCCATTCCCAGGTGCAGCTTCAAAACCTACACTGACGAGGGCAAAATCTGACAAGGTCAGCACCACCTCGCAGCGGCCTCCGGTGCTTGCTGTGCCGCCAAGCAACTCCTTTAAGGACATGACCAAGACGGCAGCTAAGGCATCGCCATCCACCTTGCTGAGGAGTAAGCCATCTCCAAGGCCTAGTGCTGACAGTTGCAAGGCGGCAGCATCACCTAAACCTAGCAGTCAGAGGGTCTTGTTGCCAGGTGCTTCTCGAGGAGAAAAAGTGCAGCCACTGTCTACCGCACACTCACCTGGTGCAGCCGCAAGAAAAAGATTGGATACTGTTAATGGTGCTACTACCAGCTCAAAGGCTAAAAGTGTTTCTCAGAAGGCAATGGGAGCATCTGCAACCAGGAAGGACAAACATAAGGACCCATCAATGCAGATTAAGGGAACAGAGTGCATAAACACCACCCTGTCCATAGAAGAGCACTTGCACAAGGAGGTCTCTGATCCAGTCGATCTGAAATCCATGGAGATGACTGTACCTGATCAGCATGAGCCATCTTCCAATCAACCAGAACAAGTATTCAAAGATGATGAGGAATCCAAGGGACATTTCTCTGAAGACAAAGTAGATGCAGGAGCTAATGAGATTCATAATGGAGGGCAAGATGTCAATGGTAGCGTCAAGACTATATATGAATGTGGGATTGTTGAGAAGGAGGAGGCTGACCGGAGTGTGGATAAGGCAGTGCCAAGGACTGAAGTTGCTCAGGTGTGGAGGAAGGATGATCCAAGGGGCAATGACGTGATTGAGGAAACCAAAAGCAAGCTCCTAGAGGAGAGGAAGAGCCGGGTGAAGGCCTTGGTGGGGGCCTTCGAAACTGTATTGTCGTTCAAGGAGTAGTGCTCAACCTCGTCTTCAGATCTGTTGTGCCCATCTCAATATTGAGTACATCCTGTCATGAATATATATGTGATCATGAGGAGCTGAGTGTTTATATGATGACTTCCTTGGTTCGTCGTACTCAATATCATATTTCTTTTTTCTGAATCATCGTTGCATTCGATGTGGATTTTTCTATTTGTTGCTGTTTATTGATGTAGAGTTAAATTAAATTCTGGTGCTTATGGAAAGAACATTTGGATTCTGTGAGGAATATTCATACTTGCAGTTTTTTATATCTTTCAAAATGTGCTCTATAATTTGGTCAGGTCATTACTTTCTGATTGCAGAAAGCTGATACATGTCAAAGATGGGAGGGTTCCCTTTATATCCTGTAAAATAAAAATTTTGTATGGACCGCATGGAGAAGCTTTAGTTGCCACTGCTCTTCAATCTTCGACAGACAATGGACGATCAAATGAAGATGACCGTTTTCATCTTGAATGTACTCTTTTTTAGAGGTTATTTTGTGTCATGTCATCCTTTTGTACAAGCTATTGTTTTCCTTAATATATATCAGATATGAGACACTCTTCTCAAAAAAGAAAGAAAGAAAGTGATTATGCTTGAGGATGTTAAATTGTGTCTATTTTCTAGAAACTGATGATGCTTGCCATGGTACATATTCCTTATGTAGATAATAAATTAAAGTAAAATAAAATAATGCCTAAAACTGTATAGCGCAATAGCTCTATATGAAAAAAAGAGTAAATTTTATTGGTAGTCCTTGAACTTCCACATCTTGAGGTCAGGCGCTGATGAGCATATTGAACTATCCATGTGGCTGAGAACCCTCACAACCTAGACACAACGACGCAATTATCAGGGACACGCTCTACCACTAAGCTAATAGCCCGTCGCGCGGGCCTCCCAAAGGGAGGCCTGTTACGCCAAAAATGAGAAAAACTTCATCCCTTTCCTTTTAACATTCCCATGCTGCCACACGGGGAACATGGGGACGTCAGAAAGGTCTCGAGTTCTCATACAGGTTCCAGTACTTCAAATTACAAATTTGATTCCTTCAACTTGCCATTAGTTCTCCAGGTCCTTGTACTTGCAATGTACACACTAGACTCCCTAAGCTTGCAAATACACGCCCTGTTCGCTTGGCTTATAAACCGTACTTTTTCAGCCAACGAACAATATTTTTCTCTCACAACAAATCAACCAACAGTACTTTCAGTCATTGCTTATCAGCCAAGCGAACAGGGCAACAGATATTGGTGCCCGTAGTTATAAATTGCACACTACGCTCCCAAAATATGTATTATTGTATTATCACAGCCCACCCTAGCCTCTTCCCCTACATTGCATTACACATGCTTGCCACACCCGCACGGTCGTTGTGCTACACCGCTCTCGTCCACCCATACTGGTGTAGCACCCAAGGTGGATACATGTGGTGGAGGCTCAAGCAGGATGTGTGGACCTAACTTTCCAGGACCTGTTGTACGTGTTGCCTGGCCGCTGTGATTGCCCTGCTGCATGTCCAGGCCGAGCCTCCTCCACCATGGCCCTTGAAAGGACCTGTGGATGGCTAGAGGGGGGGGGTTGAATAGTGAAAATAGTCAAACATAGGGGTATGTTAAGTCCTCGGGAGAAGTTCTCGACCGGCAGATCCCCCGACCGGCCTCGCAAGGTTGGTCGAGGGCTCAGGAGCTATACTCATTAGGGAAGAATTCAAGGAGTTGTGCAAGAGACAAAAGGCTCTTGAGAAAACCTTGATGAGTATTTGGCTACTCGTGAGGCTCTAACTGAAACTCATGAGAAGTTCAAGGAAGCTCACTCCTCTCTTTTTGCTCAAAGAAAGGAGCCTATAAGATAGCCAATGTATGAGTGACTTGTGATATTCATGATGAATCGTTCTATACTCTTCTTGTTGTTGCAGCCACTAGCCCCTCTTGTAGCACACGCACTTCTCCCTTGAGTGATGGTTTCACTTGTGACTCCACCCTCATTGTTGAGAATGAGACACCAAAGGAGGTTAATGAACTCACCTATGTGCTTCGAAAGGCATATGGTGGAGATGCTCACTTGCTCAAGTTTCTAAGTAGCAAAAGGTTTTCTCATAACAAAAAGGGCTTAGGCTATGTCCCAAAGAGTGGCTAAAAGGCTTTTGCCTCTCTCATGAATCATTTTTTGAGGGGTAATGGGACCTTTTCAACAAGTGCAAGCAAGTGAGACATTTGGAGAAGAATTGCAAGAACAAGAACACTACCATATCCTCCATTAAGTTTGATTCTTGCCATTTACTTTCCAAGGATGCTAATGGTGTTCATGATAAGTTCAAGGGTCCATGATAAGTTTGTTGGTGCACCCATTGTGGGCTCAATGAAGAAGGGTATTTGGGTGCCTAAGTCACTAACCTTGGAGGATCCAAGTAAGTTTGGGTATGTAAAAGGAATTAATCTCTTCTTGTATGTAAATTACAAGGCCGAAGGAAGGCAATGGGTGCTTGATAGTGGGTGCACTCAACATATGACCAGAGATTAAAGGATGTTCAACTCAATTGATACAAGTGGCAAAGATGACTATGAGAGAATTATATTCGGTGATAATGGCAAGGGAAAGGCCAAAGGTCTTGGAAAGATTGCGGTCTCAAATGACATGTCCATTTCAAATGTGTTGCTAGTTGAAAATCTCAACTTAAATCTCTTATCGGTGGCACAACTTTGTGATTTGAGTTTCAAATGCATCTTTGGAGTTGATGATGTGGAAATTGTTAGTGTGGATAGATCAAATCTCATATAGGCTTTAGATATCTGCCCATTGCACTTTGTAGCAGTTGTGGCTTGGTCAATCCTACTACTCTCTCCATCCAAAAAGAATACAATTCTAGGTTTTGAGTAAATCAAACTTTTGTAAATTAGACCAAGTTTGTAGAAAAAAATATCAATAGTTATGTCTCTAATTAGATTTACTATGAAAATATATTCTATAATCAATCTAATCATATTTATTCGGTATTATAATTTTTTGTCTAGATTTATTCAAACTTAAAATTGTTTGACTTCTCAGAAAGTGAGAATTGCTTTTCTTATAAATGGAGGTGGTATTATATCTTAAATAGGATTTGTGCTCGAAAATCGGATTTGTGCTCGACCACTGGGTGAGTAAGACCTGACGTGTAACTCCTCTTGCAATCGCTCCTCTTCTCTATGCCTAGCCTTCATATCCGAATCAGCCAAAATTAAACTGCCTGAAGAGTTCAAGAATCGAACTTCGATATTTTCTTTACAAAATTATTTATATACAAGTATTGCACTAACACCTAAAGTTTTCCAACCTGGCCATCTAGTTAGACAATCTTGAAACTTTTGTGACTTAAGCCAACTAACAATGACCATTGTGTTCTACATTCTCCAAATTACACTGTATTCTGTTTGTAGTAGATATCGACCTCTTCTATTTTCTCAATCTCAGCTAGATGTCTATGCGACATATGGGGGCTGATTGGTTGCCTGGATCTAGGCGAACCAGGCTCACCGGGTGCAACCTCCTTGTGATTGGATTCCTGCACTAGCCTTTGGGCCAGGGCCGCATGATGCAAATTCGCTGCCCCAGCCTGGCTCTAGCAGTGTGGAAAAAATATGTTCCTCCGACAGCTTGGCTCACGCGGTGCACGGAGCGAGCTAGCGGAAGCAGCGCGTCGTGACTCTCTGAGGCATGGAAGGCTTTAGACTTCTTGCATGCGACTAACCAAACAAAAACTCTGCACAGCCAAGCTATGCACCGCAGACAACCAAACGGAGCCCCGTGCATGTGCTCGGCCTAGCCACTGGGAGCATGGATTCTCTGGTATGAGCCTGGCTCATCCAATCAAGAAAACAATCAGGCCCATAGTGGACGAGAAATGCTTGATTATTTAGAGAAGTCCAAATAAATTGAAGAAACACTTCGAATTTAAGAACTGGTCATAAAATGCGGCAGATTTAAAAATTGCTACATGCAGAAGATAGTAATTCGTAGATCAACGGCATGCTACCACCTTTCTGCACGTTCGTTTAACTTAGAAAAAGGCAAAAAGGAGAAAAAGAAATGGCGCTAAACAATTTCGTATAGTTTGTCAGCAGGAGATTTGAAACGAGATGCAGCCGTGCCAATCTGGCATCTGAACTCTGGGAGTCAGAAAGAAAAACAACACAGGCCTGTTTGCTTATCTTATAACCCGTACTTTTCAGCTTGTTTTTTCAACTGGAACAGTATTTTTCTCTCATAACAAATCAGCAGGAACATTGTTTCGGTTTGTTTTTTCAGCGAAGTGAACAGGAACAGTCGCCTTTGCTTACATTGCGTTGCGCAGTGACTCATTATCCAAAAGCAGTTACGTTAGTTTATAAGTACTTTCTTGATTTACTTGAGAGCTCGACTGATTTTTTTTGAGAAATACATATACTTGTTTCTCATTTGTTCCATCCAAGTTCTCCTAATGGTGTTTTGTTATCCTCGTGGTCGTGGCAAAACTGGATACTTCTGTCAGTGGCCCACGTGGTTTCAATGATGAATGTGGTCAGGCCTAACCAACGGAATGGAGGCCCTCGATTTGTTTAGGCCCCCTTTGAATCGAGGGAGGAAAGTTTCCTATTTTCTATGTTTTTACGTGAAAATGACTAATTTCTGTAAAATTTTTGTGCAATTCCTGCAAAATTCTTGTGTTCCAAAGAGATCCTAAACCATGCAATTCCTAAGGATAAACACCGAGCAGCGCAAGTTTCAATGTATAGGGTTAAACCGCGCAACAATATAGGACCTGTTGATACAAGGACTAATTGATAGCTAGCTATAGAGACAAAATTAGCTCTAGTCCATCCAAACACAAGAGCTATTTGGTGGTCTATTTTTTTAAGCCAAATCTTCAACTAGTTTTGCCAACTAACTAGCCAACCATATATAATTCAGACCATCTGTCTAAAGATCGTCATATATATCTAGAAAGCCGTATGCTTTGGAAGAAGCTTGTACAGTTTGAGAAAGGGTTCTTTGATAAAAAAGAAGAATCTACTTCAACCTACATGCCCTTAGGCACTACTAACTAGTCATATGTATCAAACATGCTCATAGTCAAACCACGCAGCAATATATTTATGCCAGCAGTCACCTTAATGGAACCGTGGTAGCATATGTTTATGCGTTAGAACCAAACAATGGATGCCGATACTATTACTATGATAACTTCGTTGCATTACAATGTAAGTAGTCAGAAAGAATTGAGATGTGTCATCATAGAACTTGTTTATACAAAGATAATACAGGATAAAATATATTTGCAAAATTTGGGAACTCAAACATGAAACCAACACTATGTATGAGTGATTTACACATATCGATTTGCTTGTACAAATCTATCGGTGCTTACACAGTAACCAACATGGATAAACCAGTGGAGTGGTTTGTCGCATTATTGCACTTCTGTAAGGAGAGTGTGCCTGGGGACGCAACACTGAGCGTGCCAGTAAACCATGATTATGAACTGCATGACCCAAAATAAGATTTTCCACTATTTGTCAGTTCAGGGAACCGAATATACCAAAACCTATACTTCTGCCATAAGATAATGAGCCTACCAAATGGTTTGCCAACACTCGGGCAAACAGCACGAAGAAACAGCCACCAGGCTTTGTTTCACACTATATTATCTTCGTATCAATTCCAGAGGTCAGTGCAGCAGAGGAAAGCTTTGGGGGTCGTGACTCCCAATCCTGGACATAACCCATTTACAGATTGCTATCATCAGCATATAATGCTTGAAGCTTGAAAGAAAATTGAGAAACGTATAAAACTTCACGAGTAATGTTCTTCACCAAATGTCAGTCAATAATAACACAGATGCTTATCCGTGTATATATTGTACAAAAAAATGAATCAAGCTAAGGGCATGAATACAAAGACTCAAGCATTGCATACCTTGTACACATCGTCTGTTTATCAATAAGTGGGCTTTAAAAAAATGATGCACAAAAAAATTGGTCCAATCTCTTGGGTACATTTACTCAAGGGGTAATACTCTAAACATCAATACTGGCACTCACTTCATCCTCAGAAAAGAGAATAATCCCTCTAAACATGAAAACAAAAACTTTACTAACTCCCTGCTTAATTTTTTTTTCTCGAACAACGCATGAGAGCCGCATGACATTTCACTAAGAGCAATGTCAATAATAGAGTCAAGTGTTGGGCTATAAGTCAAGTTATAATAGCAAAGTTATACATTAGTTGTTCCTATTTGTCTACAAAAAGTTTTTTCTTTTATTATTATGTGGCACAATATCTCAAATTCTCTTTTCTATGTCTCCTCAATACACTTGCTACTTGGGCTCACTGTTGCATAATCTCCTGTGCCCAGCTTGTCACTTGCATAAGAGCTAAGCTCTCTTCTCTTCTCTTCTCCATATCAGCATTAGCTTGGCTATAATATAATTATTGTACTTGCTCTAAGAAAGGAAATCGTACAAACAGGATGGCTAGAGCAAACCTTCTCAATACACCCCACTCACACGAAACCATAGCCTCTTGTTTTATTAGTCTATCATTAAAACCAAACCATGTGCATATCATCAAGATACAGAATGTTCAGGATTGCTGTGCTGTGCATAACACCTCGGAGAGCAATTCAATAACAATAAATCAAGGAACTAAGCAATTAAAAATTAAATGTCAGTCACTCTTGTTTGGTCGGCAGTAATAACCTGACAACCAATGCCTCACTAGAATTGTTGTACAACAGATTTGTCATGCGCTCAGTAGCCATATGAGAATATTCATGCGTAAACAGTAGTAACACTGACAATTGGCACAATGGCAAGGCTTAATGAGGCTTATCATTTCAAAATCTATGAGACTGTATGGTATCTACTCTATTAGTTGGGAATGAATTATTTACTTCAACTAACTATAACTATTAGAAGAGCCATGTACATGGAAATCGTGTTGCAATCATTCCAAATAGATCTTCTCCCTCCCTAGATCTATTCCCTATGTCTATCAACTTCTTTTTTATGAATGACCAAAAGATCATTACAGAAGCATTATGAAATTCAAACTTACAATTTAATAATGCAGTTTTCCTGCATCTCTTATCTGCATATAAGAGATTGAAAACCAGATCAGATGATCATGCATATAGCATACCTCTGTAAGATACTGGCCTCACGTTTTCTAAGCAGTAAGCAACAGTGGTATATTAAGATTTACCCACTTAACCTGGAGTCCTTGACAACAAGCCATCCAGACCACAAGGTGTATCACATGGTGAAAAGATCCCCAAATGCATTGTACCATGCCAGAGTTTCAGCGAGTTAAGCAGTTGTAACCTACTCTGTATTTTTTATTTGTAGATTTTGTGAACATATTCACAAGGAGGTAACTACCAAGTAGACTAAATACTGATAGAAGAACTTTACAAAAGTGTACAGCTAGTTCACTATTGCATAATTCATAATGGGTATGAAACTTCTTCTCTCTATAGGCATGACCCAATATGAGATTTAAGAAATGATCTCTAGCATGGTTTCAAAGGTGACCCAAGGCATACACCTTATCACCTAGGCGACAAAGGCATATCTAGACACCCAAGATGAGCTGCACCTGCCTGGACACATAGGTGCCTAAGTGACGCCTTTGAAACAGAGATATTTAGACTGAAGAAACATAAGCCTAGGTGTCCAGGCGACACCTTTGAAACAGAGATCTTTAGACTGAAGAAACATATGCCTAATAGATAGAACATATAGAAAAAGAAACCTTCCAAACTAACAACAGAACTGTTCCTATCTCTAGTTTTCAACTTACAAGGTGCTAGTGGGTTTTGCACAAACAGTGTGGGTGATATAATGAACCATGAATAGTTGTGTAGATAATGCAATTGTATCACATGACAGTATTAGGCCTCTAATCCATAAGCCTGCATAAAAGTACATCTACCAACATGTGCATTCCACCCCGAATGTGTTCAGATTGAGATAGTAGATTGCATTGATAAATGGGGTTTGCACTGTCATTTATTATAGCGGAACAACAAAGTTATTCAGATTGAGATACTAGATTCTCTCTACCTCCTGTGCCGCACCCCCCCCCCTGCCCCTGCTGCCCAGGCTGCTAGCCTCCTGCCGCACGGGCACCACGGGCCACCGCCGTGTCCCCGTCCCTTGCCCTCCAACCTCCTTCCACTACAATCTACGCTTCCCACCCAATACCAATCTAAGCCCATCACAAAGACATATATAGTTTATCATTATTTTACATTTAGCTATTCATACCAATATTACGCACTTGTCAAGTGGATCCCTTCTGTCCACAGCATAGTTTTTACGGCGGCGTGGCGAGGCGCGGCGACCCACCACCTTCACACCTTTACAGCGTCTATGGCGCGCGGCGTGGCGACGCCATACATTATAGTCTAGGATATTAGGAAATTATATTGACAAATGGTAATGCAAATGTAGCTTAAAAGGTATAGTCTACAATATTAGCAAATCAAAATAGCAATGTAAATGTAGCACAAAAGACATGGAACTCTCTCATCTCTCAAACTTCCAAATCTCTCATCTCTCAAAAGTCGTCCAATGCAAACTCATCGAGATCGTTAGAAGCATCCACGTTCTCTCCACCATCTTAAGTAGCATCCATTGGTTGTTCACCAAAATCATCTATATCATCATCATCCAAAATGATCTCTTCTTCCTCTCCCTCTTCCTCATCTTCTTCAACCACTCTTGATATATGCCTTGCACGACGAGCGTAGGTCCTAGGAAGATTACGACCTCGAAGCTCACATGATGCACCAATGGCTTCATCAACTTGATCCCATGTGAGGTCCGAACCACGAGCACCTTCAGGTTGGGCCATTGGGTCTACCCATTCATTGTTCCAATCAAAATCTTCTATAACCAAAGGGTCATAGCTTTTACCCGCTTCCTCGCGGCGCTTCGGGATATCCAGGCGGCGTGCCGGCAGCTCGGGAGATCCAGGCGGAGGGTCGGCGGCTCGGGAGATCCAGGCGGCGGGCCAGCGGCTCGGGAGATCCAGGCGGGGGCGGCCGGCTCAGGCTCGGGCGAGGCCAACGGAGGGCGGGGGAGGCCGACGGAGGGCGAAGCGAACGGATTTCCAGGCGGGGGCGGGCGGAGGGCGACCGTCCCGGCGGCGGCGGCTCGGAGGGCTGCTTGCGGTTGCGTCTCGGGCTCGGTCTCGGAGGGCTCCAATCGGCCACTCGGCCTATACAGGTACCCTCACGGCCTCACCCTCACCCTCACCGTCTATTGCGCCCGCCACAACGCACAAAGGCGCCACAGGACGCCAAATTGGCGCCACGGGGACGCCACGGCGCTATGGCGGACGTCATACACGCCGGAGCCGTGGCGTCGCCGTGGCGAGAGCCAGAAAAACGCCACAGCGATATGGCGACGATATGTCGTCGGTATAGCGACGCCTTAACAACTATAGTCCACAGAAAAGTTTACCCTATCTATAGCAACCAAATCCTCAAAAGATGTCCATTCATATGCTTTATTAATGATAGGTAAAATTCTGAAAACAGGATCTCTTAACCTTACTAAACCTCTTCAAAACTTGACTAGGATGAAATTTCTAGGGAACTTGGATAAAACCTCTCTGAAACAGGTGCTGCCTGCTTAGATCCCATTGGTTAGCAGTGCTACTAAAGAATAAAGGCTAATTAAGCACATATTCATTCATCCTAGTAAGGAACAATATATTCATTCAAACTGCAAATGATGTAAGACACATGCCAGTACGGTAACATTTAAAACTCAAGGGAAAGAAGAAAGTGTATTTGATACCATAGTACTGCTTTGTCTCAGCGACAGCAGATGACTACATGGAAATCGTGTGCCAAGTACCACAATACGAACAGTGGAGTGTTATTGGCATGATTGGGGCCAAGTGCTCAACAGAAGTTACTATCTTACAAAAGGTTGTCTTTGAGAAACAACTTTTATATTTTAATAGTTGGGCATGACTAGTGTCAGTTTAGTCCTTGTTTCCACAAGTTCCGATGAAAATATGCTCATACATCAACACTACAAGTGTTCTCAACATATGCCTTATAAATAGTTTCTATTTCTTGTGACATTGAAACAAAATTGAGTGCAAATAAATAACTAGCAACAGCTGTATCTATGCTACAAATGTAAAAGTTGAAATGCACAAGCACATATTAGTTGTGATAAACTTACAGATCAAATCTGTGATATGGCTCCTCAATTTGTTTGGAGTCCAGCAACATAGTTATCTCTGAAGCCCTTTTGCCATAGTGGTCCTTAGGTGCACGAAATGAATGAGTTCATACTGCACCCAGCAGATATGCAGATATTTGTTTATTCTGGAAGATTGCACCGCAGATGAGATGAAAAACAATCAGGGTACTGGACAGAATGCACCTGCCTTCACCACCACCCATCAGTAAAATTTTGGCCTGATTACAACAGCCATGAAACAAGACAGACCATCAAGATCATAGGATCTTGTGACAAGATGAATACAACTAGCTCCATCCTACTAGTCATATGAATTGATCTTTTCAAGTAGCAGTGATGCATTAATCCCAAGCAAACAAGGGTTTAACTCTATTACTGTCTTTAAGTCCTGCATGGAGATGGAATTTGTCTCTGGAGGTATAATAGAACTCTGCCCAGAAACATGGGTATGTACTGATACACCATTTATTAGCTTTCGGCACAGCTGCTGCTTCAATGCCTCATGTCTTAGTTTGCCATGTTGAGACCTTGATCTAACTAATTCAACACAAGATCCAATCAACTGCTTCACAAAAACATCAATGCCGTTATTCAACAAATTGGCACACTCTATCGAGACCCCTTCCAACCCAGATGTTCCTGCCATTTTGTCCATCCTCTTCTTCACTGACGAAGTCTCACAGAGTTCACCAACTTCAATACAAGTGTCAGAGGTATCCTTTGAACACACAGAAGCAAGGGGTAAAGGTATTTGGGCCACACCAAAACTGCCAGGACGTAACTGAATGCCAAGTGGTGCTTGCACTGGACCTTGGAATTGGTGTATAATTTCTTGTCCCAGGTTTTCTCTTGAAGCCATAGCAGACCCATTGTTGTACAGAGAATTATGTAAACTGAATGGTTCCTTCTCCACACGCGGTCGCTTGATAAGTGGCTCCAAATGGTCACTTTTTTGAAATTGTGTACATCTCTTCGGATCACTCAAATGATGAACACCATTCTCCAGCATAATAGTCTCACAATGATCCAGTGATGACTTTTGGGTTAGTACATTTTCCCTTCTGCTTAATGGTTTGTTCTCTTTGACATTTAGGTTCAACACACCACCATTGTCCCAGACAGGAGGAACAATTGCATGGCCAGAAGTGGTGGCACCTCTGACCAGCTTAGGATCATTAATTACAGGTGGGCCACAAACTCGACTGGCATTATGTAGAATGGAACGGATAAGATGGTTGTGCAATGGGACATTTTCACGGCCAAGTGCCACAAGACAGAGCTTCTCGAATTCATTCTTGCTCAGTCTTGAAGATAAGAACCTTTCCAGGTGCTGAAAGTATTTCCTTGCTCGTTCAGGCCCAATCCTCTTAAAAATCTTGGACTTGATCTCACGAACATCAATACGAGTACTCTGGCCTACTGCAGGAGATGGTAATGGTTGAAGGCTTGGTGTGGGTTGTACTGATGGTGGTGTAGAGGACGGCATTTCTCAGGAAAGGAATTCCATATATCTACAACTGAACTGCAAAGTAGAATACCACGAAGAACTCTGAATCCGATACTACACTGCCAATCGTGGAAAATCACTGCAATGACAAATATCTCAATCAAAAACATATAACAAGTGTAAAGTAACAACAAAAGCATGGAAAAACATGCCGCCAGTAGACAATGGCAGTTAATCAGTATCTCCAACAATATAATACTAAAGATGTGTTTGGTATAGATTTGGTGGACGGGATTGGGATTGAGATATGAGGTGACTGGGATAAAAAAAAACTTTAATGAAAGCAATCAGAAATTAGGATTAGTCTACCCCATACGTCATGCATACACCAAAGATGCATTAGCCCATAATGATACAAACTCTTGCAATCCAATACAAGCCAGCATAGCTTGAACAAATGTAGGAATGGAATCAAACTCATGTTGAAAATGAACCGCAAACAAAGGAACTCACACTACTAATTCCATTAAAAATGGAATGCTCAGGTCAACTCTAAACTAAAAGAAGAGCAATTCTGAAACTGAAACTAAACAGAACAAAAAAAAAGGGGGCATGTCTCCCTGATGTGACCAAGCTACCTTTATTCACAACAGCACACAATTCAAACTGATGTTTTCTGTGATAAACAGAGGTAACTATGGCATAACAAAGAACACTCCAATCCAGAGTCTACAAACTAAAAAGTCTATGACAACCTGCTGCCAGAAGCAAGCTTCAATAAGCCTGGTCCTGTAAAATCATCTTACTTCGAAGGACAAAAAACATTTCCAAATATCCACCAAACAGAGAACCCAAATCGCAAGCTCCAGAGTGACCAAATTTTGGACAGATACTGTTGAAATGTTCAGATCATATATGTAGTTCCACAAACCCAAGGTTTGCTGATCAAATCCACAACACCTCAATCAAAGAGAATACAGCTAGGGTTTCGCACGAAATTCAAACTTTCAAGCTACAACCCGTGCGCATAGCAAGAAGACATCGACCAACACGGTTACACGGCAATACCAAACCCTGACACGACACGGGTGTAGAGCTCAAACTCCCCAATCCCCAGCTCGCCTTCTCTGATCCAATCCGGGTCACCCCAATTCCGACCCCAAAGCGAAGTTTCCGCACCCGAATTCTAGCTCCCCGGCGCCCAAATAGTGAGTCCGAGGCCGCGCTGGCAAGTGGCGCGGCCGCCATTGGCCGCCGGTCCGCCATTGCCGGCCGCGGCCACGCCGCGCGTGGGGTTGGATCGAGGCGGGGGGATTGGAACGGGGCGCAGAGCTCTCACCTTTGCTTCTGCTGCGCGCGCGCAGGCGCGGGCGAGGCCGTGGGTGGCAGGAGCGATCGGGAGCTGCTCTCGTCGGGCTCCACGGGCTGCGGCAGCTGTCGCCGCGATGTCGCCGAGGCGTGCTCTCACGGAAGGCTTCGTTAGCAGGAGGGGACAAGGGCTGGGGTGCTTCGCGACGGCGCCCGGCGCCGGCGGCTGCTGGCCTGATGCTGCGACGGAGGAGGTGGTGGTGCGAGGTTGCTGGCTGCTGTTGGGTTGGGCTCGGTGTTGGTGCTGCGGCCGTTCTCCGTTCCGTCTCGGTCTCGATGTTGTTGTACTTGTCTCTGACTCGCCCCTCCCTTCTTCCTCACTTGATGGCTGCAGTCTCCTTTCACAGATTTTTTTTTCTGTCATTTTGTTTTTTTTTTCCTTTTCATTTTGGTTTTGCTAGCTCTAATACTTGTCGACTAGGTTTAGCAAACGAATTCTATAACACATCTGATCTGTCCCGTTACATTTTCGATCAAATGGTGCGCCCGTAACGCTATAGTTAAGACAGTGATGCAAGTTCAACTCGACTTCTAATTAAAAATGGCAATGGGTACCTGAAACACGAGTATCCGACGGATTTTACCCGATGAAGAGGCAGGTATAGAATGATTTTTCTACCCGTGGGTATGTTATTGGGCAAAATCCTATGTCCATCGGGTAGGGCAGGTACGGGTGTGGGTGTATACTACCCATACCTGTGTACCCGTGGGTAAGAAAAAAGGTCTTTTACTTATATGCTATTAAAAAAGATGGTCTAATCGTCTATGTTTCTAAAAAGTTCAATCTATCGTCAGTGTCCAAGCTCGAAAAACTTTTCTCTCTCACGCCATTCTGTCTATTTGCAGCACTAACAGTGTGAAATGTGGGTGGCAAATGACTTGAATGCCCCTGGAACTTTTTGTTTCTCATGTGCCACTGCCTGCTGGGCGGCAACCTGATGGCTCTTGAACCGGGAAGGGGCCAAGGGGGCAGCGGGCACCTGCCTTTGCCGTCGGGCGGTCCAGCCGTCCAGGCGTCACGACTCCCGAGAGCCGTTGCCTCTATATAAGCGCCACCACCGCGGCACCACACCCCCAACGGCCCTTGCGTTTCAGACGCCGCAACGAAATCCAAGCGCTATCCAGCTCGGCGCCTCCCGCTCGTCCACCGCCATGGATCCGACCAGGCAGGGCCGCGACCCCTCCGGCCGCGGCGCCTACTACAACCCAGCGCAGTTTCCTGACCTCCCCTCCTTCTCGTGGCGACAGCCGCGGCAGCCTCTGCTTCTGGAGCAGGCCACGCCGCCGCTGCAGATGAACCCGTGGTCGCATCAGGGTGGCGACATCGGGGACCAGAGCTCCACGCGCGTCGGCATCCCTACCGACGGCAACATCTCGAGCTACGACGCGCTCCTCAACTTCCCCATGCCCAGCACCCAAACCTCGGTGCCGCACCGGTCGTCGACGCCGAACTTCATCAGTAACCAGAGGCAGTACCTACCTCAGCATGGCTTCGCCGCTCTCTTCTCCACGCTCGGGTACGACGGCGTCTTCAACCCACACGCCTCCATCTATCATCCCTGGGCGGCAGCGGCAGTCTGCGCTCGGCCCGCCGCCGCCACCGGCTTCGTCGCACGGGGCGGCAACTCCACCAGCAACGACCTGAACACCTCCGCCGGTGTGATCGGTGCGCGTCGAGGCCCAGTGGCTGGCGCTCCAAACCGTCAAGCGCTTCAGGATGTCGAGACAAACCTGGCCCTTGCGACGAACCCAGCGAGCTCGGATTGGTTGGCCTTCCTGCTCAATCAAGACAACGATGAGCTCAGAGCTCATCTGTGTGTGTTTGCTTTGCTGTTGTTTTGCTTTTGCATGGTGCAGGGAGACAGCTCTGAGGGTGCTCGTCAGGGTGGCGACGTGGAACTTCCCCGAAGTACTGCAGCAGCTATTCAGGTGCCTAATCGAGGGATGGATGATGGAACAGAGCAAGGGCCCAGAACTGCCTAAGCATTTCTTCGCCACGTTGCCTTACAGCTGTTGCTCGGTATGTAATGTAGCTACCCACAACAGCCCTGGAGGACGACATACGTATTGCTACTGATGGCGTTTTTCTGATGAACTTCCGTTTAGATTTTCACCCGTGAGCTCGCCGTCCCCGCTTCCACGACATGGCCACGTCCTATTTCGGGGGGATGAGCGTGATTCTATGCCTAGAGAACGCGACAAAGCATGAGCTCGGCATTGATCTCGAGGACACCATCTTGACCCATGCCGTTGAGATCTCCAAGAAACAATATGGGTGAGAGCTAAGCATATACCATTACAACATGAGTTCATTCACTGCGTGGTTCTTCTCGATCGTCACTCCTAACGTTCGTTCTCAATCTGGAGAAACTAACGGGCAGGCCAGGAAACCTCCTTCCAGCCGGCATTCGCATGCCGCAACAGCGTCTTCTTGCAGGAACTCTTCAAGAGAGGCCACCACGATCAGCTCGAGGACCGCATTAGGGCGCTCATCGTGGACACTCTCGTGGCGTGGTCCACGGACACATACGGGCACTTCGTGGTACAGGCGTGCTTTCGCCCCCGCGCTAGTCCGTCTCTGGTGCCTCCATTGCAGCGCGGGCTCGAAGCGTTCTTGCGCCTGCCCGCCGAGCGGCTCCGAGAGTTGGTGATGGACTGCAATGCCTACCACGTCCTTGGCTCGCTGCTCCAAACCAGCGTAGATGTAAGTATTCGCCTATCCTTCCTGTCATGCCAACAGTGGGCCCGTGCCGTCCGGCCGCTCGGTCGTTCGTTAGCTGAGACTGGTGTTTCATCTGTGCGGAACGTGCCATGCAGCACGGAGCGGCGCCGGCGGAGGCGATGCAGCTTGTAGAGCGGATCTTGGGGATGCCGCGGACGAGACGGATGCTGAACTCCGTCATCCGGCGGGTGATCGACAAGAGCAAGCCGTAGCTATTTTGCACTAGTAGTCGATGATTTGCTCTGCTGAGTCAGAGCGCGCCACCATGCCTTAGACTGTACTCCGACTGCGAATTGTGTGTTTGACTTTGATTGATTGGCATTGCTTGCTGACGTACACGGCCAAATGTCTCTGGTTTCTCTGTACAATGCTACGGGTAACTACTGTACATCTCTAAACATTTCGTATAGTTTAGGCTTGTGTAGTACGTACGTACTACTACTACTACTACTCCATAGCCATCATCTCTGTTTGTATCCATTCGCTAATGTTGTGTCAGATTAAAAGTCGTTGCAATTTGTGCATGCATGTACTGGTACCGTAAAGGTTCACCGCTCAAGCTCAGACAATTTACCACACAGATGGCTCCCAGCAGGCAGTGGCACATGAGAAACAAAAGTTCCAGGGGCATTCAAGTCCTTTGCCATCCATATTTCACACCGTTAGTGCTGCAAATAGACAGAATGGCGTGAGAGAAAAAAGTTTTTCGAGCTTGGACACTGACGATAGATCGAACTTTTTAGGGACATAGACGATTAGACCATCTTTTTTAATGGCATACAAGTAAAAGACCCTAAGAAAAACCCGCAGAAACAACCAGTTAGCCTTCTTATTTTAGCCCATATAGCCTAAGAATTTGGCACAAATCCAACTAAACACTCCTAGTATATATATTCTTGAACCCTCACTCAAACCCTAGCCTGTTCATTCCACTCCACTCCCTCCCCCT